CCTTCTTGTGCAGGCTAAAGCTGATTAGAGCGATTATTTTGAGCTTCCACACAAATAGAGTTGAGATTAGAAAAATCAAATACGGGTCACTTTTAAGGACTTCCATGTAGGGGAAAGTTGTATCAGACTAAATCCATAAGCTTCCTTACACAGTAAATGGATTTTTCAGGGTATTCTTTTTTTTTTTCTCACCATTTTTGTGAGAAATGGCTTATTTACCAATTCACATTCATAGACTTTATCGCCAGAAGGGAACATCTAGTCTGACCTGTACAATGCAGACCATATAATTTCACCTAGTTGCTCTTGGATTGAGCCCAGTTACTTGGACTGGACTAAAGCACATCTTCCTGAGAGGCAGCCTTTGATTCTTCATGGCCCACTTCCTCCTCTTCTTTCGTCCAGCAGCGTCACCACCATGAATTGTGAACTGGGGGCATGTGGCATTTTCCTATTGGCTAAATCATGCTGTAGGGGCAGCCTGGCTGCTACACAGCAGCACCAGGAGTGACTCGGTGGCCTGCAGGGAGCGAGAGAGACTTTAAAACACAAACAGCAAAGGAGCTGTCAACTAGATAGTTTTTGTTTAACTTTCCAGTCACTAAGTTTTCACAAGTCTCAAAGTTTCTTCTTTCCCTCTTTTGTGCTGAAATCAGAGTTTGACTTTTTCTCTGAAATCTCTGTGATGTCTCATTGCCTCTCCTGGGAGCGCAGGAGCTTTACAGAAGTACAGTATTACTTAATGAACTAGCTTTCTTGGTGCATGGGGGTTTCCAGGAGACAGGTTAATTGTTGTTAACCCTCATCCTCCCAGGCTTCCTATTATCCAAATGACAAGCCCAGCTATTAAAAGGAAGTGTCTTTTGTTATAAATCTAAAATAGTTTTTCTTAGGGTAATGTATGAGACCTCTTCAGTTTTCAAATGCAATTAAATTTGCTGAAGCATGCATCCAATATCTTGCACTTAAGCAGGCTGAATTAAATGCAGTTCAGTTATTGCCCATCTCTCAAATATCATTTGAGTTATCTGGGGTATCGTGAAAGGAAACTTCTAGGGTATCAAAGTGTTTAGTGCAACTGAAAGCTTAAATGCAATAAAGCTGAGAAAATTAATTTAAGGAGCATGTACTGTGTTGACAGCCATGCTTAGCTGAGGCAGGTAGGTGATTCTCAACTCCATGCTTTATCTTAAGTTTATTTTAAGTTACAATTTACAGAAAAGGGGTGACCCCTTGTTTTAGGGCACCTTGTGCATCCATTAGAAATAGGGTCAGCTCAAAAGACTGAGCCAAGAGCAACTCACTCCCAAGCCCGTAAACAATTAACCAATAATTAAATCAGCCCTGTCTTTCCAGGAATGCCAGTCCTTGCTGAGGCCCAGCCCCAAGTCCAGGAATCAGGTCTGGGAACATGCCCCTAAAGGTTAATGGCATTTGGGTTGTTTCAAACCAGAGTGGGGTGTCGCGTCCAACCTGGAGGACCCCTCCTGGAGAACCCTGCTGAGATCTCCTCCTTATATACCCAGGAGACTCCAAATTCAGCTCTTCTGCTGATCCCCCGCTGTTGATCATTGCGGGTGGCTGCCCAGTATCCGCCAGGCTCAGGGAGAGGCTCCAATACCAGATGCAGACAGCACTGAGGTGGGCAGAGGGTGTGTAATCGTGTTGCTGGCGGCTGCTCAGCATGTCCCAGACCCGGAGTCGCCCAGCCAGTCCCAGGTACCAGCAGAAGGCTCAGGGGACTTGCACTGTCCCTGCCACATGCTGCTGGTGCTCCCGGCCTGGCCCTCTTCTCCCAGCAGCAGCCCGGCTGCCATGTGTCCAGGCCCTGCTTAGGCCTTGCATTGGGTGGGCTCCCCCTGCCAGGGAATCTCACCAACATGATCTCGAGCCTCCGTAGGGGTACTGGGGCCTCAGATGCCTTCTGTGAGCTCATTTGGGGTCAAGGGCGGCCAGGACGAGCAGCCCAATCTCGTAGCGAATGTTTTCCTTCTCAGCTCCAAGCTAAGCCAGTAAGAGGTGCTTGCTGGGAGTCGCTTGTAAAGTCTTAAGCAGCGTGGGTGCGACGGGGGGAGAACGCCACAGACCGCGAAAAGCAAACGGGAGCAGCTGGTTTTCTCAAAGGTGAAACCCATGGTGTCACTAGCTCAGCGGCCCGTGCATGCTTCAGTTTCTGATCGGAGCGGGGGGGTTTTGGGGAACATGCAGCAATGCCAGGAAGGCCACTGATGACATTTTGACTGAGGTTTGCCAGTTGTAAACCCTGTATCGTCCCGTCCCCCGCCCCCGGTCTTCCCTGGAGGGAAGCAGAGAAATGCTTCCAAGCAAACTCGACAGATCGGACAGGCGAGGAGCACTGGTTGTGAATTGCATCTCAGTGTGATGCAGCAAAGCATCCAGCTCTGGAAACAACGCTCCAGGAAAGAGTGATGCAACCCCCCGTTAAAGCCTGTGGAAAGGGCGATGCAGGTGATGGCGAATTCTCTTTACACTGTAAAACGCCACAGGCTCCCAGCTGATGCTATTCAATGTAACAGGCAGAGAAAAGAAACAGAAGGAGAATGGGGTGTTCTAAGGTATGGATCTGTCTTTGTCCTGCCCAACCCCAAAGTTGCCTGCAGTTGAGTTGATGCAGGAGAAGGGGCTGGGCTCCTCTCTGGGATTTCCTGCAAAGTTCCCAATGGTGGGAAAATTACACCCCTTCTGAGTGGCTACATCCTCCCTTTGCCTACACAGTGGAGTCTAGGAGGCAGGTGCAGTTCTTAGCAAGAGTTGTCATCGGATCTAATTTGCATTTCTGAGCATTTTAACTCTGTGGGGGACCTTGAGCTTTAGCTATCAAAACGGCGTGTGAGGCTCTTGCTCTCACCATAATAAAATTAAAGCCAGAGTTTATAAATGGCTATTGAGTGACACTTCTCCAGGATGGATTGCAGCTAAATAAAACTTACAAAGTAGGCTGGTTAATCAGGCTTCAGTTACACAGGAGGATGCAGCAGAAAAAAAAACCCTTCATGCTGCCAGCACTTGCTTTTTGTTTTCCATTTGCCATTGTTCTATTTTTGTTCTTGTCAACCTCTGTAATCATACAGGTTCCATACAGCAGTACCGCTGGTAGGAAAAGGGGTAATGGATACGGTGGAAAAACAAGGCACAACGGGGGCACAGGCTGGCAACGGGCAATATTATGTGTAATGTTTCAGAGGAACAGCCGTGTTAGTCTGTATTCGCAAAAAGAAAAGGAGTACTTGTGGCACCTTAGAGACTAACCAATTTATTTGAGCATGAGCTTTCGTGAGCATGTCATCTGATGAAGTGAGCTGTAGCTCACGAAAGCTCATGCTCAAATAAATTGGTTAGTCTCTAAGGTGCCACAAGTACTCCTTTTCATTATGTGTAATGACTCAAGCTGGTTGGAAAAATTCCAGCAAAACACATTTTGTTGTTTGGATTTTCTGACTTTTGTTGAAATTGAAACATTTTGCAGGGATGGTTCTATTTTGGTGAAGCTGCAGTGAACCCAGGCAGGGCCATGACAAAACCCTGCCTGGTTTCCTCTCGCTCACCCACTTGTCTCCTTGGCAGTTCAAATGCAGGACGGCCCTAGAGCAGGGTACCCCAGCCATCCTGGGTTTAGGGAACCTACCAGGCGGACTGCCCCGGAGCCTGGGCTCTATTCCCCAGTTGCTGAGGGATAGCTCAGTGGTTTGAGCATTGGCCTGCTAAACCCAGGGTTGTGAGTTCAATCCTTGAGGGGACCATTTAGGGATATGGGGCAAAAATTGGGGATTGGTCCTGTTTTGAGCAGGGGGGTTGGACTAGATGACCTCCTGAGGTCCCTTCCAACCCGGATACTCTATGATTCAAAGGTTTTCGTTTTGGTTTTCATTCCAAATTGGAACAAAACTAAACTTTGAAATGTCAGACTCCTCAGCAAAATGGAGTGATGAGCGCTACTTGTGATTTACTATGGACACGGCTGTGTCTTCCGATTGGGCTGCTGTCCTTCATAAGCATATGGCTCTCCAGCACCATCAGAACCGCCTGCAGCAGCATCCCAGCCGCTTTCGGTAATCACAGTATCTTCGGTTCACAGAGCGCATGGGGCTTAAAGTCAGAAAGGACCATTAGATCTTTGTCCGCCCTGCTGTATGATACAAGCCAGAGAACGTCCCCGCCTACCCCTGTACTGCATGCAATACCTTGTGTTTGGCCAACGCGTAATTTCCAGGAAGGCAAGCAGCCTGGATCTGAAGCTGGCAAGAGATGGAGAATCCACCACTTCCTTTGGCAGTTTGTTTGCAGGGTTAATCGCCCTCCCTGCAACAACGTGCGCTTTATTTCTAGCTGGCATTTGTCTAGCTTCAGCTTCCAGCTTTTGATTCGAGTTCTGCCCATCTCTGCTAGACTGAAGATCTCTTCTAGCACTGGAATTGCTGCCCAGAGTAAATGGGAGTCTCTTAGTTTGGGTGATGAGCTGTTGGGGAAAGCGGATAGTTGGCTTAAAACCCTCAAAGCGCGAGAAAGAAGAGGGTTAGTTTCTTCTTCTAAGTTACGAGATTCCCTAAGAGTAGACCGGCTGCTGGCTGGCTTCAGTGCATATGGATGTTTGTTGGGTGGCTGAACGTGGATGGAGACCTTGGACATCTTTTGCCACCTTGCTGCTAACAGCTCACTAGGCCTGGCGAGTGCAGCGTAAGAACCGGTATCCACTAGAACGGGCTTTGTGCGGGTGTGCTGCCCAAAGGTGAATTTCACCCTCCGGGCTTCCAGGTTCAGACCTAATACATCAAATAAGTTAATTTGCTTTTCATGAAATGTGACTGGATCTTTAGGGACCTAATCCAGCTCCCGCTGGAATCAGTGGGAGTTGGATGTGTCTTTGAAGCCCTGTCTCTGCAAAGCCAGGTGGCATGTGAAATGCCAAGGGTGGGTGCTACATGCTGATATTTGATATAAGTCCATGATCTATCTTGGTCTCTCTCTTCTTTCCCTTTTAGGATCCAAGGAGCAAGCACAAATTTAAAATCCACACGTACTCCAGTCCCACCTTCTGTGACCACTGTGGCTCATTACTCTATGGACTCATTCACCAAGGGATGAAATGTGACAGTAAGTGAAGCTCTTTGTCACGGCCATGGCTGATATAAATGGGCAGGGCAAATCTCTGGTCGTCTGGGGCACATGCCAGGGATGAACTCCTGACTACATTGAAGTCTAAGGGCAAAATTTCCATCGACTTGGGATTTCACTTCATGTCTCAACCTGTCTCAATGCTCCAAGCAGGATTACAGTGTATTCAGGTGAAATGCACGGTGTAGTAGACACGAGTTACTATTTGTGTGCTGCGATGCTTGCTGGGGAGGGGGCAGCCCCTGCCTCCAAGGGCTTGGGCGAGGGCTAGGTGGACGCACAGAGGGCATAGCAGAAAGGGGACTACAAATCGGGAACTTGCTTACACACATCAGTCAGGTTCCCTGTCGGTAAAATTGCACCTTCTCGTTTCCCCACCTGACTTTTCAGAAGTCTTAAAATGGGAAGGAACCTCGGACGTGTGCAGGGGAGGGAGCTTTTCCCAGGTCCTGGTCAGAGAGCAGAGACCCGGGATGTGCAGGCCACCAGCATGATTGAAACGCCCGCCCTGCCCCGTACGATCATGCTCATAGTGTGTCACCCAGGTACCACCCAGTGATCACGCCTCACTGCTGGGATGGAAGGGAGGTCAGAATGGCCTAGGGCTCTGGAAAGGGAAGAGCAGCAGAGGTCCCTGGTTGGGACCAGAAAAGATACATGGCCTAAGTCTCTCTTGGCTAGTCCAGCCTTATTGGCCAGTCCTTTTTAAGGCTCACTAAAAGGAGATGAGATTTTTCCAGCATTTTCTTTTTCTTCCTCGTTCCCTTTCCCCAACCCCTAGGGAGGCTGGCGTACCGTCCCCAAAGTGAGGGTTACTTCCGGAGCTGGGCGGCTCAGGGACTTTGTCATGGGCTACAGGGCCATTTAGCTCTAGCTCATGGGTTCAAATCCAGCTCAGTCTGGCAGTTAAGAGGCCCAAACCATTTAATGGTGGTTCAGCCTCCGTCATGAAATAAGCTGTGAGGCTTTTCGATTCCTTGGGTAGGGGGGCGACGGGGGTTTGTGTCCCATTGGGTGCTAATCAGCCCCCTTGTCTGCCTCAACAGAGGTTGAACACTGAATGAGCCAAAGAGACTGAGCTCCCTCCTGACTCTTAGCCCTGCAGTGGAGGGCTCATGTCTATCGTCCATAGACAAGGGACAGTGTGAGGAGTTGTGGGGACATGTGCTTTACATGGGTGCAGGGGGAGCCAGAGGGAAAACCTGTGATAATTTCAAACCAAATACTCTTCCTTATATGCTGGCTTTTAGCGCCACCCTGTGGCTGTCCCATGGTGGCGACAAAATGCCCTATGTTTTTTATGCAATTTCAACAGCCCCTTCTAGAAAGCATTTTCTCTGTGCTCATGCAGGTGTTGAGGTACAATAGCTAGTGGAATTCATCAGGGAGCGATGACAGATCTTTTCATCGCTCAAATGCTAACTAAGTGAATGGCGTTTCTGTTTCAATGGGGATATGCAGTAACCAATAGAACTGGCGATGAATCCCCAGCATCTGCTTAAGTGGGAAACCTGTCCGGTTGCCAGGGGGCTGAACGTGCCAATATTATGTAGTGCCGGTTTCCCCATCGAGACAGAAACTTGCTGCTTGGGATCTGCTAATCAATTATCACTTCACACACTTTCTCCCTGCCTGTTGACCACTGACAAATTCAACCTAATGCGTAGTATTACACCATGGGCATTGTGGGAGAAGTCATCCCATCAGTGGATAAAAGTCCCAGTATGGTGGCTAAAGCTGGCACAAAAAGCACTGCAATGTTTCTGGCCTTGATCTTGCCATGAGAGGCATGCTGGTGGATCTCTGCGCACGTGTGGAGCCCTGCTGAAGCGACCCAGCGGGACTCCACAGATCTCCAAAGATCCATAGGCAGAACCAGGGCCTGCATTAGTATTTGTACCGGATTCCCCCCACAATCATGCCCATCTCACGCCCCGCTCGGTTCAGAACTTCCAGGCGATCTAGGAGCCGACCGCGGGGAAGGTAATCTTGTGATCTCCCTGCTGTGGAGTAAGTGTTTGTTTCCTTCTGTGCAGCCTGTATGATGAATGTCCACAAACGCTGTGTGATGAACGTCCCGAGCCTATGTGGAACGGACCACACTGAGCGCAGGGGCCGGATATACATCAAGGCGGATATAGCAAAAGATGTTCTCACCGTTGTAGGTAGGTTCATGGCTCTGCTGTACAGATGCAGACTCCTCCAGTCCCTCGCTATTGTAACTTGCTGCTCTGGAAACTTGGCATAAATATCTGGGGCGTGCGAGTGCTCTTTATGGCCGAAGCATGCTGGAGCTGCTCGCGTCTGTGGTAGTCCTCGTTAGTGGTGAGTTTGGGAGAAATGCCCTCTCAGTTCTTTGGCTAGAATGCTGCCTCTTCTTCCTGAGCCAACCTGTTTAATAAACTGACAACTCCAAGCCTCCCCACCCCATCTGCTGGGTCCTGCTTTTATCTCTCAGACTTAGACTGCAGGCTCTTTGGGGCAGGGATCTGTATGTTCGTACAGCACCAAACACAATGGGGCGCAGGCCTCTAAGCACTAACACAAAGCAAATAATAACAGTCTTCTGGTGCACTTGCTACTTCCCAGGGCCAACGGTAGCATGCCAAACCAACCCGTTAATGCAGGTGGGTGCTGGATCCTCCAAGCCGTGCAGGTTCATTGCGGGCTGGCTCCGCAATCACTAGACGGAACGTATATGATCAACTAATACATAGGGAAAACTCCAGGAAGAAAACATGAAACACAAGAGCCCCCTTGTGGTGTCTCGCACACAGGACCTGTGCAAATGCAGAAGGTATGAGAGAAAGGAAAGGCATTTGGGCTCTAGGGAGGGTTATTTTCTGCCTCCAATAAATACGCTGGCTGAGACTCCATTTCCGCAAGCAGATCCCAGCCAAGCGTTTGTAAGGGATCTTGATTCCTCTGTGTATGTTAACTGCAGGAGAGATCAACTGCTGAAGAGTAGACGCCTTTAGATCCGGCCAGTGAGGAACACCTTGTCCAGCCAACAGCTGGGACCATGTTTGAGGCAGAGAGAGGAGGGGTCTGGGGGGGACAAAAGCTGACTCTGAGAACAGGGCGGGAGTTTCTCTTGAAGACTGAATGTGACGCCTGGCCCCCCTGAAAGGAAGGAGGGCTTGGCCTGGTGCTAATGTCACTGCTCATGTGGCTGTTCCCAGGCTAGCTAGTCTCAGTGGCTGGGGACTATTATAAAGAAGCCTGCCCAGTTCTGTAACTGGGGCCTGTGCAGAGGGCAGGAAGCGTATAAAACTGTATTAAAGGGACAGGCCACAGCTGCTGGATCTCTCATACAACCTTCCCCCCACCCCCGACCTCAAAGGCCAGTCTGGCCTTCCAACTATTCCATTAATATCAGACACTCATCTTTCCGTAGCAAGGGCTGAATCCCGCTCTCTAGGCTCTCGCAACTTTCGGTGGCTCCTTTGGCAGAAATCTAGTTGACAGCTCCCTGCAGTGCAGATCTGGCTTCTGGGAGGAGATTGAGTTTGTGCTGCTCAGACTCTCCTTGGTCAGCATTCAGGCTGGAGCACCCCACCTCTGGAGGCTGGATTTGAAATGGATAGGTCTGGCTCCAAGGGCTCTTGTTCCGGGCTCCTCAGTTTCCTGTTTTCGGGCTTTCAGGCTGAAATGGCCACAGGCTGGCTCCAACTAAAGTAGTCTGAGTCGCGTTTGTGCTGGGAGACCGAGATGACACGTGTCTGAAAAGACAAACACTCTGCAGCAGTATTCCAAAGGGGAGATAATCTTCCTCTTTCCTGCTGCGGCCATGTTCTCCTCTCCTTTCACCATCCTTTCGTTCTCTTTTACCAGCGTCTGTCCCTCTGAGCGTGCAGAGAAGGGGAGTGTTGTTCTAAAACATCCAGGGAGCTCCCAGGTGTTTGAAAAAGCATCTTGAAAAAACTGAGCAATTAAAAAAATCCCTGTTGTTTTAGAGTGTATTGAGTGGGCACAGAGATGCAGGGATTCCCCCCCTACGCCCCTCACCCCAGTGTCTGAGCTGTTACATGACTGGATAACTAGGTGGGAATTCCTAAGGGGGTGTGTGAATAATTCCTGTGGAATACAAAAGGAAAGGGTGCAGAAAAGAGCCCCAGGAATGATTCAAGGCTGGGAAAACCTGCTTTAAAGTGAGAGACTTAAAAAGTTCAATCTATTTAGCTTGTCCAAGAGAAGGCTAAGAGGTGACTTGGTTACAGTCTACAAGTACCTCCAGGGGGAGAATATTTCTGGGAGCAGAGGCTCTTCAATCTACCAGACAAAGGCAGAACAAGATCCAATGGCTGGAAGTTGAAAGTGGAAAATTCAGACTAAAAATGGTGCCTTATTTTTAACTGTGACCGTGATTAACCCATGGAAAAACTTGGCTAGGTATGTGGTGGATTTTTTTGTCACTTGAAGTCTTTAAATCAGGGCTGGGTGCTTTCTAAAAGACCTGCTCTAGCCCCACCCGAAGTTATAGCTTTGAATCCTGGGCTGAGGTTCTCCGGCCTATGTTATACAGCAGGTCTGATTAGATGGTCACATGAATAAATATTTTAATTTAAAATGTTCCATTGTTATTGGAGATGTTCAGGTTTTTGATGGAAAACCAACGGGGGGGGGGGGGGTGTTTTTCAATGAAACCATAAAATTTCAAGGAAAACTTTCAAAAAACCAAAATCTTTTTGTCACATCTCTTGCAGGAAAAATTTTCCCTTTCCCAAACAGCTGCTCAGATGCCCTGGGATGCGCCTCGTGTAAATTCCTAGATTTGACACTAGGATGGGGAGGGCTAGAACAGAGAGAAATCCTGGGTCCCACTCTCGGGAAAGCCTGTGACACCCCACCACCACCAAAGTCTCTCTGAAACCCCGGCAGAACCACCACGAGGCTCTTTGAACCCTTTCGTATGGAGTTGAAGAGAGTCAGGTGCATTTGTTTCAAACCGGTGGAAAGAGCATTTTATTTCCAGCCCTTTAGGGAGGTGTCGGTGGAACCCGTCATCTCTTGGCTCCTGGAGGAAGGCAAGGAAATGTACTGTGTTCTCCAGCTCTTCCACATACTTAATGAGGGAGGGGGGGGGAGAGGATTTCTGCCTGCCCTGTAGGGGCTGTTAAGTGGCCTGACTTCCTTCCTTTGGTGCATGGTTTGTTTTTTTTTAAACTCTTCAGGGTCTGCTTGAGTCTCTCAAATCCCAAGCAGTGACTGTGATTAGGGAGAGGGGCCCCAGGCTGGCAGAGCGAGCTTTGTATTGTGCAGAAGCTGGGGAGCGTGCTGTACTTTATTTTGCCATCACCTGTCTGGCACAGTTCAGCAGAAGTTTTTGTTCCCCCAGCAGCTGTTTGCTTTGAGAATAGGGTCATAGCTGCAGAGTGTGTGGTTGAGACTGCCCTGCTTCCTAGTGGGAGAGGCCTGGCAAGAAAAGCAGGAGCTCTGTTCAAGGCACAGGCTACAGCTTGTTCTGGTTGTAGGTTGAAGTTGAGTGTTGACCCAGGAGTACAAGAGGCTCTTGATTACTGGTTGTAATTCTCACGGGAGGAGGGGAGCTATTTTAAGTAGATCCTTTTGATCCACACAGATAATTTATGCAGCATTGCCCAGTACACTGTACTGACCTCTTTGAAAAGTGGTAAGGTGTTGCTTTTCCCTAAAGATCCTCACTTGAACCTGATGCAAACGGCTAACACAAAGGCCTTGGCTTAGCAGTGTCCTGCTTCTCTGGAGTGAGGGGCAAATGTATATTTCAAAAAGATCAAGGTCCACTATCACAGAACCATATGGTTAGAAGGGACCATCTAGTCTAACCCCCTGCCAAGATGCAGGATTTGTTGGGTCTAAACCCTCCCAGAGAGATGCTGTCCAGCCTCCTTTTGAAAATTGCCAGAGAAGGCGCTTCCATGACCTCCCGAGGCGTCTGCTCCATTGGCTGACTGTTCTTACAGTTAGGAAGCTTTTCCTGAGATTTAATCTAAATCCGTCTTGCTGTAGTTTGAACCCATCTCCTCTTGTCCTGCCCTCCTTCGTGGTAGATGTGACTGGTTGGGAGGGAGATCCAGTCTGCTGAGCGGCCAAGTAAGAAAGTGTTGTCAGGAAGGGGAGGTCTGTGCCATTAAACAGGTCTCCTGAAAAATCTGCCAGTTCTCCGAGCCCCAAAAGCTTCCTTGAAGACTCCTCGAGACCCTCGCTAGCTGTTTGGCTCGGTTCCCCCATCCCCGGGCTTCTGGGGCCTGATTTTTCAGATGTACTGAGCCCGTGCATTGGGCTCCTCTGGAACTTCCCATTGGAATGATTTTTGACAGTAAATGCCCTGTTTTCACAGAAATGCAAATTTTCAGAGAAGCTGAATTTTTCCAAAAAACCTGGTGTGTCCAGCAGGAAGATGGAAATGCTGGCTGCCTGCCTGTGAAACTCTTGGTAATGGCTCTTCCAGGCAGGCAGGCAGGCAAGCGGAAACATTTCATTGTGGCTGTCCCCACACAGACTTCTTCTGGAAACCTTTCCCCATGAAAACGGTTGTGGTTTTGGCTTTCTCTTCATTTGAGTGGAGATTTTTTTTCCCCTCGAAAACACGCTGTTTTTCACGGGAAGGGATTTCCATGTTCTGCTCTCATTGCGAGTGCTCAGTCAGTCTGAAACCCCAATCCTGAATGTGGCACGATTTGTATGCCGCATTGCCCAGATGCTAACCACCCTCTGGTGAGCATTTGCGTTTAAGACGTGCCTGGCTGTTTGTCTCCACACGCGGATCCGTAGCATGGGTAGTGCAGCATGTTCCCCTCTAGGTGGCAGCACAGTCCCATAAATGGCCTGTGGCCTCTGTCATCCCAGGCAGAGCTAGGAACAGGCTTCATCTGAGCCCTGGCGGGTGCAACCAAGAGGCTCTTGTCTCACTGGGCTGGGCATTCCTTAAGCTACCCCGAGGATGATGGACGTGCCCTCAGGGAACAGGCAGACTTCAGGGGGCTGTGCTGGGAGATTGAGACATGAGTCGGGGGCTGGGGGTTGGGCACGGCTGCCTTATGGCTGGGATAAGAGGGGAATAATGCTGCTGGTAAGCCACTTTCCCCCGTCCCCTTCCCCTCCTGCTGCAGTCCCTTCTTTGGCCAGGATTCTGCGGAGCTCCCTTTTCAGGCATTGCTTCCTGGTTGCATCCAGGGCCAGG